CTTGTTCAATAGTTCTACGCTTATCCATTACAAGATCTCATAGAGAACTATAGCTAATCAAGTACACATGCATTTTATTATTTAAGCTTGTTTGTTGACCAAGCTTAATTGAACGCATTCTCTAATCTCTGCCACACATTGTTATGTATCTATATAATAAAATAATTTATAATTCAAATCTTAAAAAATAAACAAAATAACTTTTGCTTTAAAGTTAATCTAACGGTTAATATTAACACCTTAAATTTAATTGGAAAAATAGGTCTCTAAGAGTGTGTTTGGAGTGACTTTTTAAAAGTATTTTTAAAAATTATTTCTCATAAATACTTAAAAAAAAATAGTGTTTGAAACCACCTCATCACTATCTCTCCCACCGCCACAGCCATCGCCATTGCTGTCGTCACCACTACCACCACCACCACCATCATCATCGCCGCCACCACCACTATCGCCGTCTCCTCCGCTGCCACTACGGCCATTGCCACTCACCAAAACCATCACCGTCTCCTACCACCACCACTAATGCCCACTACCTCTCACCTCCACTATAAATCGATGTTTAAATTTATTTATCTCTTCTTTATATTTGTGATTTGATTTTGGATATGAATATAAATATGTTTATTGTTTACTATTTTTTATTATTTTGTACCTTCAAGCACCAGTAATAACTAGTATATATATATTGTTGGAGACAAAAATACAGGATTGGTGGCCTCTAGCGTTCTGTCCATAAAATACTAGGAAAATTATCGAAAATACAAATAACCCTAAAAGGGATAGTTTATTGGAGACAAGAATGAGATATAAACTCATATATTATAAGTTCGAAACTAGACAACTTTTCCTATGGAACATATCATGAAGGATTTATCCTTAATAAATTTCTTAGTTTTGGAGTAGATGACTTGCTTTTGATCTGACGAAAAAAAGAATTAATCAAAGTACGTATAAACTAATCCGAATATATCTGACTATAATACCAAAAAAAAAAAAAGGTACTAACCTAATATGAAATTATCGAGCATGTTTAAGCTGTAATGGATTTATGTCATAATCCATTTTATCCGTAGGACCTGCTTCATAAATGACCGATACTAATTTGGCTACATCTGTCATAAATTTGACCATACAAAATTATACATGAGCCATTTCCCGATTTAGAGACAATTAGAAAATAACACGACATGACCATTATGGATTCTAGATCACCAATGAGGAAAAAGGAACTTGAAACCAAGATCTTGTACTAAAAGTCGAGTGATCAATCGCTTTCCCAATCTGGTTTCTATCGAGAGCCAATGGTTTTCTCTTTTCCATCAGCTGGTTTTTTTTTCGAGGTTGTGCTGAGTCATGACCAGTTAAGCTTTAGAGAGTCTAAATTTCCTCCAAAGCAACAATAATAAAAGTTATTGATTATAAAAAAAAAAAGGATGTATCAAAGTTCAATTGACTCAACATGTATTAAAAAAAAAGGTAATCAACTTGGCCATCACCAGCTGGTTTTTTCAGACAGTCAACCAAACTTAGCTCTTCTTTGTTCCTAAGAAGCTTCCGATTTATTATTTTGTTAGGTCTTATCAGGACTCATGCCTTTTGTTAGTTAAATACATGAAATTTTGTTCACACTAACCGTGAGAATTTGATTATCAAATAATGAGAGAGATACGAGAACAAAGAGGGATGAGACAGTACTTAACTAGTTGAATAGGTTTAAAAGGCCTTAACTACGATTTCGACAAAAAAAAATTCGATATCTTAACTTCAAAATTTATTATTTTAATGGGTGTTTTTATAATTTTTGTAGGTCATTTTATTATTAAAAAATTTACCATTTTTGTGTGTATATATATATATATATATGAAGATAATAATAAATGAAGTTATTTGTGACTTTTTAGAAAGAAATAGGTTAAAGACTGAGTTATGGGGTCATCATTTGAGATAAATAGTATAAACATTTTATGAGTGGACACCAAACTCTGCCCCTTTATTTTATAATTAATATTATATGAGGTGTATTTAATGGAGTATCGGCCAAATTTTTCATCATGAAATTAGAAATTTGAGTCTTAAAATTCATATTGAGGTACGGTGATTGACCGTTATGCTATCTTAGCTAAGTTCGTTCTCGAGAGTAATAACAGTCGTGGTCAAGAGCCTCATAATCTCACCAATAAAAGTCTATCGGGATGATTTCTGAGTGCTCTCTTTTGTCCCCGCCTTTTCTTTTCATATATATATGTATATATGAGGTTAATCGCTCTCTTAGCCTACCCAGATCCAAGTCTATTAGAATTATTTTTTATTCGGTAAGTCTACTAGAATATATATATTTTTTTCAACGACAGATCACTGGTTTTCTATAAGTGTGAAATCTATATTTATATACAATAGATGGTATTTAAATTCATTGTAAGTGGACCAATTCAAAGCCACACCTAATCCTTTTCAGCCAAAGCATATCCTTTTAATAATTTATAAATACGAAGCTGATCCGGACTATCTGACTTCAATTTCAAAATATTAATTATCATTATCTTCTATCGTTATTTAAAAACACTTGTCTGCCAATTAATTAAACTGACTTTTTTTGTTTTTTTGTTATACTCTAGTCTAGTGTCAACTACTCCCTCGAATTTGTGTATTGATTACCATAATTCGAACGGATTTACAACATGTCTCTTGAGAAACAAATGTGACTGATTCTTAATGGGTATGAGAAGTGTTGAACCTGAGATGGATTGTCAGAAACTACACTCAGCTCTTGAATCACCCCTAAAGATTATTAACGTGAATGTTTGACCCATTGTTCAACTTATTATTGGGTTAATCTCATTTCGCATCCCACAAAATACTAAGGTTTTAATTCATAAATCAAACCCTGAAAATCATAAAAAAGTTACATTTACTCTTTGGTTTGAAATCGCAATCTATTATCTTGTTTGCACTTCTTATTATAATAGAAAAGTTAATGGTGATTTTGGTCAGGGTCACATTGCAATTGTTTTACATCTCCAAGTATGCAATTTGAGAACTAAAATCTTTTAAGATATAATAAAATTAAAAATTTAAGCATCTGTTAAGGTGCAAAGTGTGATTAATTCTTTATTAATTAAGTAATTCTCGCTAACAATTCCATCTTACAATTAAATTTACAATCAAACACGAGGAGTAATTTGAAAATAGTTATCTTCGATCTAATATTATAACTAAGAGGTTGAATTAATAATTTATAAAAGCACAATAACAGTTAAGATTTATTTAATTTTCATTTACTATGATCCAATAGGAATCCCAATATTTTTTCTCGCTTAAAAATATCTTTTTCTTTGCACGGTTCTTGTTAGACAACTCAACTAATTTGTACATACCCCTCTCTCTCTCTCTTATTTTCTCTTTGTTTATTTTAATTTTAAATTATGTAATTAAAAAAATTAATTGTTATTTAAAATATAAATATTATATGATCAATGCTTGATTTTTAATATTACAAAGTATCTTCAAACAAAGAATTATTGCTAATAAACTCATACTCTCTCCCATCTTATTTTCTCTCTTTCAAAATCATGTAATGGATAGAGTCGCATGCACTGAATTGTCGTGTTTTTAAAAAGAGCAATATTATTGAGACTTAATTTTTTAATTTAATTTACTATAACTAGTAGATTGATTGTGCTCCCAGTCTCATCAAACATTAAAATTTAGTGTTAATTAATCTAATAATTATATGAAATTACATCATTAAATTAATTAATTAAATTAATTTTTTAAATTTAAATAACAATACTCTTTTGAAAAAACGTTTGGTATCATCACATAAAAATTAAGAAAGAGAAAATTAAGAGAAACATGCAATTGCTTAGTCATGTGAAAACCCATCAATTACTAGGCTAGTCAATGATCTCCCCAAGTTGCTCCGGTGCATATTTCAAGGGGTGATGGCTTTAAATAAATAATCAAGCAGAATAGGATAAGATTAAGGAATTAATTAGATACAGACCCAAGTTGCATAAAATAAAACTGTGACTCATTTTTTTTATTAAATAGTAAAAGTATTCGAATTAACTTACATGTATTTTAATTAATTTTTTTTTTGGTCTAGTCAAAAATAGAACATCTACGTCAGAATTGAGATATTCACAAAGAAATCAAAATATTTAAATTTACAGTTCATCTCTATTATCATTTGAACTACTTCGATTGTAACTCGTGTTTCAAATTATCGTAGTTTTGCCCTTGAAGTTCTTGACCAGAAAGATAAATTATAAAATGGGTACCTTTTCATATATAAAGCTCCTCGATGGCATCACCCAGGCTAGAAATAATAAGGATTCGGTGAAATTAACCACTTAGTGACAAAATCACCATGAGAGAACATCGTGCCCACTGACAAATTTGCTGAATAATCCTCTTACTAACTTTGTATTAGCATCTGGCCGCCTTGAACTCTTATGGAGAGATAAGTTGAGTAAGAGCCCACTATTCTATACTTGACGATTTCAAATTTAGATTATATAATATTATTTGTTTTAGATTGGATTTGTAAGATTTTAAAAATTAAACCTCATTATACAATGACGATTTACAACAAAACATTTGACACACTCATCATCAAATAATGTGCCACACCAGCTTCGGTGTGAACGAGACTGTCTTTGATCGGATCGAGAAGGGTTATTAGTTAAAGTGTGTTTAAATTGGTCCAAACATTTTGATCGTTGAAAACAAGTAAAAAATTCCAATGTACTTACCTCCCAATTAAAGGATAACAATATTAGTAATCATAATTAAGCCCAAGAAGATTTGTGTGACCCGGAAACATTTTTCTTTTTAACCTAAAAGTATTTAAACTTTCTTATCCACGTGGGCTTTTGTACTTTTTTAACTTCGTCAACTTTGGGAACCCTGCAGGCTGCTGAGAAATGTCTAAGGCAAAACCTTATATAAACACAAGTCCATTACTTCATTGATGACACCATAAAAAAATTTACATGGCAATGGCTTCTCTTCCATATCCAACCACGGCCACAGCCAATGGCCGCTCTTCGTCCTCCACCACCACCCCTCATTCCACCTTGCTTTCCTCTCCTTTCTTGGCCAAGACATCAAGATTTTCCGTACATACAAAGCGTAACTATCGCTTCAAAACTTCAATCAAAGCCATTGATGGTGAGAGAAACCCTACTCCAATCTCTAAGAATGGTGAAACTCCTATCGGAAAGTTTGATAGGAGAAATGTGCTTATTGGGTTAGGAGGGCTCTACGGTGCTGCTAGTCTCAGTTCTGACCCATTAGCCTTTGCAGCACCAGTGTCAGCTCCGGACCTTACAAAATGTGGTGCCGCAGACTTGCCGGCCGGAGCAAAACCCACCAATTGTTGCCCTCCTCCGGCGACAAAGATAGTCGACTTCAAGCTTCCGCCGGTGAACGCCATGCGTGTCAGACCGGCTGCTCATTTGGCCGACGCTGAATACAAAGCTAAATTTAACAGAGCCATTCAACTCATGAAGGCTCTTCCTGACGATGATCCTCGGAGCTTCAAGCAACAAGCCAATGTTCATTGTGCTTATTGCGATGGAGCTTACGATCAAGTTGGGTTTCCAGATCTTGAGCTTCAAGTTCACAGCTCATGGCTGTTCTTTCCATTTCATCGGTACTATCTCTACTTCTTTGAGAGAATCTTAGGAAAATTGATCGATGACCCAACTTTCACAATGCCATTTTGGAACTGGGATGCTCCCAGCGGCATGCAGTTGCCGGCGATGTATGCCGACAAGAACTCACCACTCTACGACAGTCTTCGTGACGGGAAACACCAACCTCCGACTATGATTGATCTGGATTACAACGGTTCTGATCCAAATATAAGCAATGCACAACAACAGTCACAAAATCTCACTATCATGTATCGTCAAATGGTTTCTAATACAAGGAGTGGTCGGCTTTTCTTTGGAAGTCCTTACCGTGCCGGCGATGAGCCAAATCCCGGTGCTGGCTCCGTCGAGAACATCCCTCATGGCCCAGTCCATATCTGGACCGGTGATCGAACCCAACCTAATATAGAGGACATGGGTAACTTCTACTCAGCTGCTCGAGACCCTATATTCTATGCTCATCACTCGAACATTGATCGAATGTGGACTATATGGAAAACCCTAGGAGGAAAAAGACAGGACTTGACCGACCCAGATTGGTTAAACGCTTCGTTCGTCTTCTACGACGAGAACGCCAATCTGGTTCGTGTTCAGGTTAAAGACTGTCTTGATACCACAAAGCTCGGATATACCTACCAGAATGTGGACATTCCATGGCTGAACTCTCGTCCAACACCACGTTTAGCGAGGGTTGTGAGGAAGATAAAGAATCTCGGAATGGCCAAAGCCGCCGACACTTACATGGCCGACGATGTTTTTCCGGCGACCCTTGACAAAGTATTGAAAGTAATGGTCAAGAGGCCGAAGAAATCGAGGAGTAAGAAAGAGAAAGACGAAGAGGAGGAGATACTGGTGATAGAGATAGAGGTGGACAGAGACTTGTTTGCGAAGTTTGATGTGTTTGTGAACGATGAAGATGAGGCGACTAGCGGACCGGACAAGAGTGAGTTTGCAGGGAGCTTTGTGAATGTGCCTCATAAGCATAAACATTTGCATTTACATAAGCATGGGAAGAAGATAAAGACTCGTCTGAGGTTAGGGTTAACAGAGCTGTTGGAAGACTTGGGTGCTGAAGATGATGAGGGAATTATGGTGACCTTGGTGCCAAGAAATGAGTGCAATGGTGTCACTATTGGTGGTATCAAGATTGAGCTCGATGATTGAATAAAGTATTCATCAGAAAAAGTGTCAAATTTCTTGGAGAATTAGGGTTTTTTAATCAGGATTTGGAAAGTGTTTAGATTTATCACGATTATTAACTCGAGTTCGATGACGTGCCGGCATGCTGTTGTTCTTTTTATTATCTATTTCCCTTTTCTTTGTCTCCCAATCTTTTGACCATGGGCATATATGCGTATGATCGAAGTTTTGTTGGACAAATGGCAAATAAAGGCTTTAGCTCATTTTAATCCTGTGTTGCACACGCGAGTTATTTCTGTTATCTGAGCAAAATAAAGAATGGTCCTCAAGTAGTAATCTTGATATCATTTTAGTGCTTGTTCTTTTAGTTTTGGCATTTTAATCCCTCAAAATTTTCATTTATTTTATTTTATTTTTTCCGTAATTAACAAACAAAAATGGTCACAAATGTGTCATGAGGAGTATTTTCGAATCTTGGTAACATCTTAAAATCAGGTTATGAGAGAATTATTTCTCATAAATACCTTAATTACGACGTAGGTGAGCTACCTTTAATCAAATTGGGAGGAGAATAGTCGAGATACGTGTTAAACTTATCCAAATAACTCTGACCATTAAACCAAAAATAAAAAATAAAAAATTGAGTGATGAAAATGATTTAATTCAAATAATAAAGAACATAGCGATAAAAATAAAAAACTTGAAAAAAAAGAAGATAAATATGACACGTTGAGAACTTAAGAGACCAAAGTGAGACCCTTAGGAGAGGCCACGTGAGACGCGGGTAAATACTTTATCTAGTTAATTTAATGAACATCGTTACATGAATTTAAAAAGTAAATTTGATATTTACAATCATTGATTGTACTGTAGGTCCTAGTATTTATAAGGACTCACTATCTATTCAATGATTATAATTATTAAGCTTATTTTTTAAGTTCATATAACACTACTCTAATTTAAAATAACATTTTTGATTGGATCAAATGAAACATATTGAAAATCTTTCAGAATAACTGATATTAGAGATGAGTTGTAAAATCAGACGTTCTGAATTTGAATATTGACAACCTTTTAGGGTTAGGTTATCTGGGATAAATCTCTCATGAAAATTCTAGTCTTGACGTAAATGATCTATCTTTAATCAAATCAGAGAAGAGATTAGTCGAAATGAGTATTAACTGATACAAATACCCTTGACCGTTAACTAAAAAAAAAAAAAAATTGCAGGACACTTGTGATAAAACCAAAAGATTGAGTAGTAAATTGATGCAAGACACAGACTATAATGGCCATTATTTTATTATGTTGATTTTATTTGTTTATTTATAGTTCATTGATTTTGGTCATGGTAGATTGCAACCTCGATGACTCAATCTAGAGATATTTCCTGGAATGCTCAACTCACGCATTTTATGGCAAAAGTCGTTTTAATATATAATAGATTTAGGCAATTCATGTGCAATGAACATGCTATCCCATGAAAAATGGCTGGACAGCACTGGCCTTTCTTCTTTGAAATAGAGCACATAGTAAGTCTATTACACTTTTTTGAATTATTTTATAATTAAAAAATAATTTATCTAAAAAAACATGTCTATTACTATTTTCCTTTGGAATTAATTTTTTTTTTTTGCTTGTGGATTTATGTTTGAACCATGTAATATTTTTCTTAAAATTTATTTCTTTAATCTTTATTTAAAATTTTCAGCTACAAACAAATTTGGTAGAGAGAAAACCGTACAATTTTTCTTTCTGTGTATGCATTATATTGTTAAATTAATTATGTTTACTAAGTCTTAGGATTAATGTGAAGATGCCAATGGATATTCTTCAGCCATATAGCGTGCCAGTGCCTGTGTTTGAATCTTAATCAATATTTATTTATTATGTTGTAATATTTACATAACTATGGGGTATCTAATAGTAATTTATGGTTGGGAAATAAATTTTTAATTTAACAAGTCTAAGTTAATTATAAGTGCAGTGGTTGTCTCCATCTTATCACATAGCCGACCATATACACAAGAATCAACTTTATTTATATACATACCTGTTACCTAAGGTCAATCTCCATCTCAAAAATACTTTTTCAGAAGACAATTAGTTTCAGAAAAGAAAGGTTTGTGAGGAAGATAAAGAAAGCTTGGAATGGCCAACGTAGCCGGAACTTCCATGATCGACGACGTTTTTCCGGCGACCCTAGACAAAGTACTGAAATTAATGATCAAGAGGCCGAAGAATTCGAGGAGTAAGAGAGAGAAAGAGGAAGAAGAAGAGATACTGGTGACAGAGATAGAGGTGGAGAGAGATGTGTTTGCCAAGTTTGATGTGTTTGTGAACGATGAAGATGAGGCGATGAGTGGACCCGACAAGACTGAGTTTGCAGGGAGCTTTGTGCATATGCCCCATAAGCATAACCATGGGAAGAAGATAAAGACAAATCTGAGGTTAGGGATAACTGAGCTTTTGGAGGGTTTGGGTGCTGAAGATGATGAGAGAGTTCTGGTGACTTTGGTGCCAAGAAATGGGTGTAACAGTGTTACCATTGGTGGTATCAAGATTGAGCTCCATGATTGAATGGAGTTTTTTAATGAAAAGAAGTGTCAAATTTCTTGGAGAATAAATTATCTTTAGGGTTTGGAGTTTCATTGTAGTGTGACGGTTGTTTATTTTTCCTTTCTTTTCGTTTTCTTTGTCTCTCAATCGTTTTGATTATCAAATATAAGCTTTGCGTTATTTATATATAGGGTTTGGAATTTTATGTTTAGGGTAAAATAAAGTAATGATGCTCAAATGTATATTAGCTTTGGACAATGATCAAAATTTTATTTTGAAATAATCAAAATATTCGAAACATTTTCATTTTCAAGGAAACTAAAATGAATCACAGATGAAATCGAAATTCTATTACTTCGAGGTGTTCTATAATATTTTAAAGATGTTTTATAATATTTAAATGTATTTGTACAATTGTTTTAGAAAATATTTTGATATATTTCGACCAATATTTTGAGAAAATAATTCTTAAATTTTATTTTTTTCCCTCCTAAACATGAAAAAATATTTCTGTTTTCTAGGTAATCGAAACAATGTATCGAAATAAAATTTTGATATTTGACTTTGGACTATTTTGATTTTGTTTTAGTCCTTTAAAATTTCAATTTGCACCAATTTTCTCCATTCAAAAATGAAGGTTTTGACTAACTAAAGTCGTCCTATGTGTCACACATGACCAAATCTTGAAAGATATCTTCTTTTTTTTTGGATCAAATAAAAATAAAAGGTTTCATAAACTAAAATGACACAACCAATACGATAAGGGAATAATATTTTATTGTTCTTGATGTTATTATGAATATTTTAACAGGACGGCAGCTCCATCAACCCATTATTTATATATAGATACTATTTGTTTATTTATTTATAATTAAATTATTTTGGACATGATGACCAAAACTCGTACTAAGATAATAGACTTAATTAGAACTACGTGTATACTTTCATGTGCAATGAACATGGTATCCCATTCTATTCACAAAAAAAAAAAAAAAAAGAACATGGTATCCCATGAAAAAAGGATGGCCAGTACTGGCATTTCTTCTTTGGGTGATCACTCTTCCCCAGTCAAAATTAGAGAAAAAGATAACATAACAGTTGGTTAGACTTTATCCAATAATTTTTTTAAGTGAAAAAATTAGTTCATCAAAAAAAAAAAAAAAAAGCTAATTTGATTCGTATTTACCAAAAGTTATAATCTATAATCATTGTCGTGTCCATTCATCTTGGAGAAAGGAGAAAACCCTAAAATAAAAATGAAGAGAGGACACAACAAGGGTTGCTCGTCCTATCGCGATCATTTCTCCGTTTGAGATAAATAATAAAGATAACAGGTTAAGCGAGGAGCCCTAAACGAAAAAGGGTTCACACTACATCTATTTTTGTGCTTGTACCATAGTGGTCATTTCACATACTTGCTTATGAAGTACAAAAAAAAAATACAAAAAATATTAGGAAAACATTATGAAAAGTACTTAAAAGTAATTTGTAGCTAATGAGAGGGGGATGCATTGAAATTACCTTTAATACTGCAGCCATAAGTTCAGCCCTCCACTTTTGAAGACGACGGCAAGTTCACCAAAACCCTAACAACCCTTTGAATTTGATCTCTCTCTCTCAACACAGTCTTTATATTACAAGTGATTGTCCAAGGTTTAGCTAAAAAATTGTACTTTGTACTACAGGACTTTGTAGTACAAAATTTTCAATGTTTTTTCTTTTTGGGTAAGTAAAAATTTTATATGTTATGTATGCATCATGTCCTTTATTTTTATAATTAATCACGGCCACACTTTTCTCCATTATATCATAATGTCTATAAAGTAATGCAAAGTCATTCCATAGTTGATTAATAATTGAAGAAGATTGATGACAGGCAATACAAAAATGGTAAATGAGATAAACTGATTAGAAAAATATAACAGTAACACATAACACATATGAGTTAATTATAACTGTAGTGGTTTCCACACAATAATCGGCCATTTCTTTTCTGTTGTTCACACCAATCCATTATCTCACATTCTCTCTAGATAGCCGACCACACAAAAATAAAATAATTAACATGTAGTCCATCGGAAAAAAAAAACTTTTTCAATCACATTCCCCCCCCCCCCCCCCCAACACACACACACACACACACTAATCCATATGTATAAATAATAATTTGGAAATTACATTACTATTATCACACCACTCGGTCGTGGCCTTCTCCTACTAAGGACCTACCTCACACCACTCGGCCGTAGCTCCACTAAGCAAACATAAAGAGGTTTGTCCATTCCACTCAGCTAGTAAG